TCTATAACCATCTGAAGTCACAGGGTATTCTCCCACCGATTATTTTTGTGACAGGTAAGAAAGACTATGGGGCTGAAATTACCATGCAGCCAGTCTTAATAATTACAGATGCTAATGTAATTCTCGTGTCTTATAGAACTCTCTCTTTACCTGGCCTTGATGTCAAGTTCCTTAAACTAAGAGTACATCCATATTGTTAAACTCACTATAATTTTTGAGGTATATGTATGTGTACTCACACTTTTAAAAACTGAATAATCACAGAGGATGAAGGAGTAACTAAGTCTGGTCTTAGATACAGTGCTCAGCACTTTTGAATGTTATTGTACATAAACTTAATCTTTTCCAACAATTTGAAAATATAACTTGTATGAACACCCCATAATATTATGCACTAATTTTCCAATGGCGCACATGTAGTTATTTTCATGTTTTAGTTCATATGGATGTGTGTGTGTGCACATGAGCATGCCTGCCTGAGTATATGTAAATCAAACAGTATGTACAGTTACCGGGAGAAGCCAAAGGAGGCATTGGATGCTGGAGAGCTGGAATCGCAAGCTGTCCAACTGGGTTTGGTTAAAAATCTTTACTGGCACAATAAACATTCTTGCTTAAAACATATTATTTTAAACATTTAGCAATTAAATCCACAGGATAATTAATTTCTGAGCAGTTGAATTAATTACCTGGTCAAAGGACATGCAGTTTATATTTTGGTAAGTGTTGCCAAACTGACCATCACAGAGTTTAACAAAGTTATGTATACCAGAGCATGCGCTCTACAGATGTCCCCATATTCTCCATCTAATATTAAAGTATGTTACATTTTAAAAAAAATACTTCTTTTTATTTTATGTGTCTGAGTTCTGTACTGCCTAGTGGTTTTCCTGTTTTTGTTTCATTTAATCAACTTGACACAGGAAGGGGCATCCGGGAAAAGAAACCTCACTTGAGAAAATGCCTCCATCAGACTGGCCTATGAGCAACTCCGTGAGGCATTTTCTTGATTAACGATTGATGTGGGAGGGTCCAGCCCACTACAAGTGGGGACGCCATGAGCAGGTGGCCCTGAACTGAGTAAGCAGGTAGGCTTAGCCAGCCGTGGAGACCAAGACAATAAGCAGCATTTCTTTATGACCCAGGCTTGAGTTCCTGCCCTGACTTCCCTTCAAAATGGACTTTATTGATCTGAAAATTTTAAAACTAAAAGTTGAAAATATTATCTAAGCAGTTTTTATATCCATCCCTAATTCTGTCAGTGTTAAATTAAGATCACAATGATAGGGCCTGGGTTGCTCTGCAGTTAATAGCACATACTGGTCATGCACAAAACTGGAGTTCAGTTCCCGCCACATGCCAGGTGAGGACTCTACCAAGGAGCTACATTCCCAGCATAGAAGTAAGAAATTAATGTTCTCAAAGTATAAAGCCTTGGATCGCTAACTTAAATTCTGCTCCTGAAAATACATGTGAGGAGAGCAGGCATCATGAAGAAGGATCTAGTCTTTTGGCTCCTCAATGTTTCTCCAATCATCAGGAAAACATCATGGGACAAAGTGAGCTTTAAATAATATTTTATGAATTAAGGAATTCCAGGTTTTGTTAAAACCTAGTCACAAAAATCTCATACACACCCAGGAAGTTTTTAAAATTCTAAATAAATACTTACCAAGTAAACACTCAACACTGATGTAAATACACTGCCTGAATTTTGCGGTTTATCTAATAGACAATTAGCCTACAAAATGGGAACCTTCAGTTTGCCATTTTGAACAAGCCATTCCTAGAATCCTTTGATGACATGCAGTAGCCCCACAGCACAAGTAAGAAAATCAGAGTAGACTGCAGCTTTTAGTCCTTTCACCCAGCAAACTAAGCCCACAGGTGTTCACTGAGAAATGCACGCTGTTCTGCTCTGTCTCCTTTCCTTTCGTACATATTCCACCTACTTAGCTAGGTGGAATATGTACGAATATGTAATCTTTGTATCAACATGAACAGAATAAAACCCATCTAAAAATGTAAAGCTACTAATTACATATAAGACACCCAAGTAAAGCTGACAGATTTATAAACTGATACAATCACTGGTTGTATCTATAGCTTAAATACCAAAAACAACAAACTTGTGTTTTCATTGGTAGTTATTATAAAACGAAGTAAGCCACCAGTAGAGGGCACTCACAAAAGGGAGAAGAGCTGGTCACAGCTTTAAGGAAAACTGCTAACAGTTTCCTTCAAACAAAGCTGTTTTTAAAATAAGACTATTTCCAAGTCAAAATGTTTTAATACAACATTAGAGTAAGATGACACAGTGCAGAGCAACCCAACTTTACAAAAGGTGAACTTAAACCTATGTTACACTTGAAAGCCAAAATAACAGTTACCACTGGGGCAGTAATTTGACGACCTGAGCAATGTTTAAATAAGCTATATGCAGCACAAAAGGTTTTATTTAACCTCAGAACTGCTGATATTCTGACTAGTTCACTCTTTGCTATTTCTAGTTGAGTACTGTTTGAGGACTTCCTATGAGATTGTAACAACCGTGTCCCACAAACAAGTTAGTTATTTCTTTGAACAACTTTATTGACTTCATACAAGATAAAAATATTTCAGAACCGAGGTCAAGATGATTCTCATGTACACTTACACTGTCTCTAATGTTAACATGTTCTAGGGTCACACCTATGTAGTTCTTTATTACGTATCTGCCATAAAGCGTCCTTATTGAATTAGATTCAAGTCACAGTATACTGATAATCTAGAAGATAAATAAATATTTTCTTAGTTTGTGTGAAGTCGGCATTTTTATTTAGTCAAGTCTCTTTAAGCTCTTTTGCCATTTTTATAGGTGAATTACCCCAAGAAAACTCCCATGTCAGTTTCCTGGGAGATCTCAGCACAGAGATAAGAAGTAATCTCTAACTTTTCTCCAGGCGGCTATACTATCTGGGGTAATGTCAGTTTCAAAGTTCACAGGTCATAGTGCTCCCTAGTCTTCTGGCTTGGCAGAAATCATAATCAGAGTTAGAAATTTAAATTTATAAACTCGTCTGCCTTCCTTACACATAATGGGTTCTTAGGTGTATATTACACTTTAGCAAGTTTGAGCTAAAGGTTTCCTAAGCTATTTTATATATATATATATATATATATATGTATATATATATATATATATTCATGAAGCTTTATGACCTGACAGGAGAAAGCAACAAGGAATTGCTCAGATTTTCAAGGAAGATGAGTATTTCTGTTGAAATCACCTTCCAGATCCCACGGAAACTTCCACATTTCAAATGCATTTTGTATTTCATTTAAATGGCAGAACATACCAAGTAACCATGGTCTTAGAATACCAATCAAAACAGGTGAACTTTTTGATCTTCCTCAAGGAAAACAGCAGAACTATGTACAGCACTGAACTGACTTGTCAAACGTATAAATAACAGTGCACAGGAGTTGTACTTCACCAATAAAGTCAGATCTTCACAAATGAGAGCTCTGCTCTATTTTCTGGAGGATGATGGATGCACTACTAAAATTATCTGACACTTCCTAACAGTTAATCAACCTTCAATGGTCTAAGTTACATAAACATTTTCCCAAGTTCACCAATGCCTTCAAAACCCATCACATTACAGTGTTTCTTCAAGACACAGAGACCCCTAGCAGGGCACTGTGACCTATTTAAGATTTCATAGCTAGGGATTCCAGAGCTCTAGAAAATTCTTCAGAACTGATTTTTTTTTTTTTAATTGGTACATGAAATAGGGACATAGAGGGCAAAGGACCACCTAGCACACCAAAAGCCCTGGGCTTGACTCCCCTGCACAGCCTAGCATGAGCACAGAGGCACACAGGCTACTCAAGAGGCGGAAGCTGGAGAACCAGGACTCCATGATAGGCCTCAGCTACCTGAAGGCCCACCTCAGGGTATGTCAGAACCTACCTCAAAAAACTAAAAGTGGAAAATTAGAACAAAAAACAAAAGCTAGGGACTGGGACATCTTCACATTGCAGTAAAGATGTCTAAGAAATAATCTAACTTTAATGAAGACTATTTCAAAGGCAAGATTAACATGTATTTCTTGCTTTACTGAAGTTAAATTTAATATATTTCAATCACACGTAACTGTGTGAACAGCCTTGTGAAATAGTGAACAGGCACGGTTAAAGCACAGCCCCCTCCTGCTGGTCTCAAAGGGTGAATGAACCCTTCTCTGCTCTGCAAAACTTGAACCTATTGTCAGCAATAGGACACACCACCTGATTTTTCAAGATCTCTTCCAGGTTTTAATTTTATTATTTAGCAGTTGGCCTTTAATTGGCTAAGATTTTATGAAATAAAAAATGTCTGAAAATAATCCTGACGATCTTACTCATCAAACTGTATTAAATTTAAAAACCACAACCATCAAATGATTGTATTCTTCTAGTATAATCAAATTTTCTCTTGTCACACCAAAATAAGAAACCCACTAAAATAAAATGAATTCAAAAGAATAACTTGCACTGGGCATAGTGGTACACATATTTAATACTAGCATAAGGGAGGTGGACGGATCTCTGTGAATTCAAAGCTAGCTTGGTCTATATATCAAGTAGTGTGTTCTAGGATACTCAGAGCTACATATTGAAAACCTGACTCAAAAATACCAAAACAACAACAAAAACAAAAACCCTGCAGGTACAGAGCAAACACAAAGCTATATTCTCAACTCTCACAAAACCATGAAACACACTTATCAAACTGCAAATACAAGGACATAGTGGGCCCCTTGGACCTTATCCTTTCTGTGACATCTCTTGAGAGCCTTGCATCTATGGTTACCTATCATTTGGTTGAAAGCCTTGAAACTAAAGGGTATCACATATAATTGAAATAACTTCCAGTATAATTTTCTAATAAATGCAAATATGATCAGAAGTATTTTTTTAATGCAAAGGATGAGTGTTCTGCACAAACCATACATAGAATATAAAGCGAGATTTACCTCTATCGTAGGATCATATTCATCCACAAAGTGATTCTGAATTAGCTGTATCGTCAAGGCACTCTTGCCTACGCCACCAGCTCCAACTACCACAAGTTTATACTCAGTCATTTTCAGCAGGCCTTATAATAAAAATAATGAAAACGTAACTAAATTAGAACATGTCTCACATAAGATTATCATACACTCTATCAGTATTTTAGCATGCCAGTACCTATAAATATAAAACTCTAAGGTATTTGGAGATTAGTGACTGCAGATGCACAAAGGAGTAAGCCGTACTTATTTACAACTCCCCTCATACACAGAATAACAACTCAGGGAAACCAGTTCTTTCATCCTGTTTTCATTCACCTTGTTTGATCAAGCAGCCAGACTGCTGTTTTGTAGCAGCTAATGGCTCTCAAAGGACTGTGTCATGACTTCCCAGTGCTCTGTCCCCTGTGGACACTCCCACACAAGCTTGCTGGCAACTATCACCACACCCACCCTTGCAGGATTCTTTATTGACTGGACATGAAAAGTTACAAGTAGGTAGCAAAGAGCATCTTTGTTGGAGCTAACAATTGCAGAAATCTGTTTTAATGTCATCATAATAGTTCTCCTGTGACAGGCAACAAAACAGTCTGGTGTCAAAACTGAATTGTTGTCGGGAAAGAAAAACCTAGGCAACCAAACAAATATAGTATTTGATGGCATTTTAATCTTTAAGGTACCTGTGGGGAGAACAAAGGTAAAAAGTAGGAGAGTTTTAAGGATTTGGGATCAATTATAACATATAATCCTATATCTGTACTGAAAATCAGTACATCTGTACAAGAAAAAAGAAATTGGGTAAAACTCAGAGATAAACAGTACTTTTTGGCAAAGAAAAACTGTGAAGGATTTAGAGTTTCTCAGTGACCCTGCTACTTCTCCTCTGCTTACACTGGGCTGGCTCCCCACAGGTGCAGCCAGTACTGACTGGCAATCCACACAGTTAACAATCCCCAAACGGGATTTTTTTTTTAAATAAAGTGAATATATTCATTTTATCTCATTTCCCTCACATAATACATATTATTACAAATAAAGGGGGGCATGGATGTAAAGGAATGGCAGTAAAGCCACAATTATAAATAGTTCCAGGTCAATGTATGTGTATACAGTGCAAATAAACACAAAATACACAGTCTACTTATTGATGACCAAGAAGCATTTGCCCAGGCAGTTTGTCTTCTGATACACCGTCCTCCTCAACTTGTGCCTGAGCCCCTCAGTAACTGTACCACAAGGTCAGAGAGCCACTGTTACCAGACTTTCATCCAGCTCCCGCCCTACTCTGCCCCACCTATCCTCTCTTGCCACTTGTCGGGGCATCCTGGGAGCCATTACTAACATAACTTACCTGTTTGCCTTGAGTTTTATAACAAACGGGACAGATGAAGAGTCACATGGGGATGTGACCTTTGCCCCTCCCTCCCACAAATAGAGCCGCTGGCTAACAAGAGCAATTTAGGAACCCAATAGGTTCCTAGGACTGCATAGTAGGGAACAAGAGGTTAAAACTATTTTTATAGCAATTGTTTTTTAGCCTTCTTACTATACATTTGCAAGTGCAAGTGGCTTTCTGGGCTCCAATTACAATAAAGAGAATGCAGACATGAGATGCAAGTTGGAGAGAATACAATTATCTCCTATGAGGACATACAATTAAACAGGTTGCTGATGTGTAAAACAATGCCACTCTATTTCTTATTTTGCTTTACAGAAGTTACTTTCCATTAAATTGCATCCCTGTTACAAACAGGCATGCCATTCTAGTTGTAAGTGAATTGGAAAATAAGAATTGTTACTTCTTACGTGGTAGATACTGGTATGTCCACCCACAAAGGATTCTGGATACCTCGAGAATTGCTTAAGGGTGTAAAGGGGTCCTAGGGGCTGAAGTGTTGGCTAACATAGGGAGCACTGTGGACAGACACTGGATCCCATGTGTGATGAGACATCCCCGGGTACTTACTTACACACTAGTTTTAGCAGAAAATAAAAACTCTCGAGTCAGGTCTTTAAAACCTGGCAATATTTATGTCCATTAGAAACAAGTCTTATTCAAGAAAGCTCTTAAGACAGAAAGAGTCCCCCCCCACACCACTACCCCCAGGTACAAAAGACAGTAAAGGGGTGTGACTGGGGCTAGATTCCAACAATTTTGCTAATGACAAAAAAAAAAAAAAAAAAACTGTGTATAATTACTGCCATCTCTTAAGACCAAGGATGCTTGAGGATGGCTACAGTTAGTTTCAAAGTGAGTATATGGACCCCAAGCATACGACGTCTATTGTCTATTGCATGTCGGGTCAGCGTTCTGTTGTGGCCCTTCCTGGAAGGCGGACACGGGTCACACGGTTAATCCCGAAGCGGTTATTAGCAACAGACTTTCTCCCTGCAGCGTGTCTTCACGGAGGGTTTGTCCGGCAAACACAGCAGCTCATCCTGTTTTCACCTCCCTGCGTGGCCCTGCCGGCTGGGGACTTGAGGCTGTGTGTAGTAACGCACTGACGGGGGGGAGGGGGGGCAAGAGGGTTTCACCGTGGTCCGCCCCAATGCTACAACCAACTACTCCGGAGTCGGTTTGCAAAGGGCGAGCAAGCGAGGGAGGCACAAACCCTCCGGGCTGCAGGGGACAGAAAGGGCGGCAG